TGGGTTAGCCTGGTGATGGGTTTTAAAGAGGGCACGTTCTGCATGGAGCACTGGGTGTTATGCACAAACAATGAATCATGGAACACTACATCAAAAACTAATGATGTACTGTACTAACTGTGACTAACATCATTAAAAAAAATAGGAAAAAGAGTTGCATGCTCTACCGTCTAAGCCAGCCAGGTGCCCCCACCAGTATTTTTGACCTCATCTCCTTTTCTGCTACACCCCCCTCTCTCTCTGATCTTTCTGTTCTTCCAGCATGCTAACCCTGCCAGGATGCTCTTCTAAATACATGATTTCTTCTAGTCTTTCAAATCTCTCTTTTTTTTTTTTAAGATTTTTTTTTAATTTATTTGTCAGAGAGAGAGAGCACAAGCAGGGGGAGCAGCAGAGGCAGAGGGAGAAGCAGACTCCTTGCCGAGCAAGGATCCCGATGGGGGACTCGATCCCAGGACCCTGGGATCATGACCTGAGCTGAAGGCAGACGCTTAACTGACTGAGCCACCCAGGCATCCCTAGTCATTCAAATCTCTTATGCATTAAGAACCCTAATTATAATTTACAGTTTTTACAATGCTTTATTTATTCCTTTATTTTTAAATTTTAAGAGTTTGAGTAAAATTCAGTTCAAATTGGGCAGTGCCAAACCAGAATTGATAGGAACACTCCTGTAATGCTTAATTTAATAAATTTATTCATTAACTGGCCAGTTTGAGCATTTAAATATTGTCACTTTAGTGGTTGATATTCGGTCCTGGCTGAGAGCCCCTTTACCAGCTTCGTGCTCCCATTTCCCTCACCTGTGGTGAATGTTGGCTGTTATTGGCCCCCAGCTATCCTTTTTCCAGTGCCTTGTCTCCAGCTAAATGACAGCCCTAGCACGTGGGAGGTTGCCCTCTCAGCCTACAGGTGGTACCTGACTAAACCAGAGGTACAAAAGCCCAGTCTCTTCCCTCGGTGTAGGTCCAACTTCGTATTGCAGTTTGTGCTCCAGGGCTTCTGTGTGACTGAACTAGACTCCAGGCAGACTCTTAATGGCTGAGCCGCCCAGGCACGTCCGGCTTTTTATGTCCTTTGTATTCATTTCTTTTTTTAAGCATTATTTATCATTTTTTGTTCAAATTGTTATTACCTAGCCAGTGGGAGCTTTCAGTCCTCTCGGCAAAGCCTCTGATATTTTTGAAAGCATCCTTATATTCTGGCAGAAATAATTCCAAAACCTTTTTTACTGCTTTTCCTGCCCCAAGACTTGGAATCAACTATTCTCCAAGGATTACTTGTTCCATTAATGGAGGACGGTAGTAGAAGCCAAACCTTGGGCGATAAGGCTACTCATGAAAGTTGCTGTAAGCAGGAGTGCTACGAGTGCTGTTGGCTGATTCTTGGTACTAACAGTACTTCCAAGGAATACCTTGTAAGGTCACAAATTCAGATCGATGATTCCAGTTTATTCTGTTCTTGTTACCCCGCCTTTCTTATCTTTGTTCATTCATTGATCACTAGGGGTTTGTCTATCTTTTTTTTTTTTT